CCCCTTGACACTCTGTTTCAAGGGACAAGGGGAAGGGGTAGGCGGAGGGGTAGGGGAAGGGGAAGGGGTATAAAATAGAATTGGGATTGGGCCTAACTCATCCAGAGTAACCACAGCTACTGCTGGGATTCATTAAAATATGAACCCTGTCACTACACACCCTCACATCAAACATCCACGCAGTGCATCTTCCCTCTGTGCACAAAAAGAAAACCCCACCCTGCTCGTCCCGTGATGGTTAGGAGTGGGACTTTACGCCACAGGCCAGAAAACAGTCCAAAAACCAAAGTAAGGCAGACGTTATGCGACGGTAAATGAGGAACGCAGAGGACAGAACGCCCATGACGGCCACATCAGCAGCTACAGACAGATGTCTGTCTTTTCTCTTCTCCTTCAGTTGTGACTCACTCCGTCTCTCTATCTTTTCCTCTTTTATCTGCTGACACCAATGAATATGACACATTTTTTATTCAGTCAACTTGTGTTTTATTTAAACTGCTCGGCGCAGGAGACGCAGATCAAATGATGCGTTTTGCATTCCTGGATATTTCGGTCTATTTCTGCGCACAGAACGTCGCCCTGGAGAATTTGCCGGCATTAAAGCTGACGGCTGCAAAACGCTCCAAAATACACAATTGACCAAAAATGCTACTGAGCGAACAAAACACACGAGACCCGTTACAGTTCTGTTATCAGAGAAAAATATTAGTTTGGTAGGGTATTAGAAGGAAACAAACTGTATGTAGAGTACACAACACAAGCGATATTAAGAATTTATGTGTAATGGGACAGCGGGAGTGCGAGAACGAGATCTAAAGAGACTTTGTAGTAAGATAGAAAGTGGGTTGCATTGGAACTGTAGTATATGAGAGAGATAACTAGTAGTATTTTTCAAAACTTGTCTGCATAAATCATCCCTTGCTGTTTAAGCCATGGACGTAAATGACACTGAAATCCTAGACATAAATATAAGGAGGGATCTGAGCCATCTACAGCCATCTGTTTTCCTTTGATTATAGAGATAGTTCACCCAAAAATTAAACTGTTTTACAAGTAAAAGATGACAGAATTTTCATTTTTGGTTGAACTGTCCCTTTAAGGCAGGGTAACCACCCAGCAAACACATAGCAACATGCTAACAAGCACTCAGAACTTCTTAGTAACCACTTAGCCATGGCCGCCCCAAAACAGGCAAAACACCACTTTTGTCATAAAATAAAAAAAAATAGCCCATTTATGCTCTTTCCACAGAAAAAGTGGATAAAACCAGTGCAAGATATGAATCAGAAACATAGAGCAAGACCGGTATAGTTTGATTCCTGAACAATTGACTCTTATGAGTCTTGACTCAAAAACACACAGTGCATCCAGTGTTCTAACACACAGTGCATCCAGCTGACAGTCGGCCATCGGCAAGCATCTGTAGGGCTAGTTTTTTGGTGTGTTCCACATGTCAACTCTCGTTGGGCTCACATCAGCGGCAGTTTCCCCGATTCAACATGCTGAATCGGCGTTGGGGCCGTCGGCGAGAGTGAGACCTCTGATTGGATGCTCAGTTTAGCGAGCGAGTCAGTGCCCGAGAATTAAAGCGAAAGTGATGAAAACGAGTAAGTAAATGAAGGTGGCACACCCAGATGGCTGTTCTAATGTTACGTGATCTTACCAAAGCATTCCAATATGTGAATATTTTCATAACAGCATGAGCCACCTAAAATGAAGAAAGTTTTCAACATAACTGATATTCAAAATATGCGTATATCTCGTATATCCTTGTTTCAGGCTTCTCCTTTTGAATGACGAATATATACTATTGATAGCTGTTGATATAGACAGTTAATTCCTCTCATGCAGGTGCAGAACGCACATGTTAGTTTGTGGTCGGTTGTAGTCTGAGCAGTGTGTTTAAGCGTAACTTTTTGGTCCAGATGCCACCGACGCGAGGCAACAAGCGACAATACCGTCAGATTTTGTCGCCGTTAGTTTTTTGAAGTCGGCTTGGTGTGTTCCAATGTTGTGCCCAATTTCGACCCCCTGATGAATTATTACCCCCCTTAATCAAGTCGCTACCTGATTACCTAATCCCCCTCCCCCACACCTACTCCTAAACCTACTAATACTAGGGGGTGCATAATCTGGCGGGTGGGGGGGGTGGTGGGGGTCAGAATTGGCCACAACACCGGCCTTCAGAGCATTTCAGAGCAGAAGAGGTGCATTTCCCAAAAGCAACTATGATCGTAAGTTCCTTCGTTACCAATGGAGTTCAATGGAACTTGTGACCATAGTTAGCTAACGATGTCTTTGGGAAACGCACCCCAGAATAGTTCAGTTCCCAAATGAATGACTCTGGTCCAAATGAGCTGGTTAATTTTTTTGTGAATCAAAAGTGCAACCATTGTTGATTGATTCACAAATGAACGACTCTTACAAGCCATTTTTTCTTTCTTTCTTTCTTTTGTGAATCAAAATTTTTTTTAAATTACACTTTTCACAGTTTTTGTGAATCAAAATGAACAAATGATTCTTATGAACCAATTCTTTTTTTAGTGAATGAAAACAA